AATGTGAAATATGAAAAACAAAAAAAAAAAAAAAACAAAAAACCTTGACGAAATGGGAACAATAAAAAAAATGTCGGTGGATGATTATAATGGGCTTGACATTGAAATCAGGGTTTGAGTTTTGCAATGAATGAATGAATGGCAAGTCGGGCAGAATTTATTGTAACGCCACCGTTAACATTAAGGACATGTTTTCAAATAAATTATATCCTATATGACTAAAAATCGGAATCGGGATGTAAGCTGAATTATTAGGTAGGGTATACTATTTTTGGTTAATATCTTAATAATTAAAATTGTTATTTAACAACCAAACAATTAAGAAATTAAAAAAATTGTAATAATAAAAAATATATTTTTCTTCCTTTTTTTGTTCTTATTGTTTGTTACTTTTTATTTTATATTACTATGTTAATAAATATTTCCAATTAATTTTTAAATATTTATTTTTATTTTCATAATTTTTTTAATTTACATACGTCAATATTTATTTTTATTTTTAAAATTATGACTTATAAATTTTCTATGTTTATTTTTATTATTATTATTATTCTGTATTCGTTATTCTAGATCACCACCTTAGCTTAGTGAGAGTTCCACGAAGTAATACCATTGGTAAATATTTATCGTTAAGATTAGTTTCTTAAATGTAAGGCTATTAGACTATAGTTCTTGAAGAATATTTGACTATGTTAAAAACCACATATTTTATATTTTTTTTAATATTATAACTTATACATACAAATACATATATTTATTTATGGTGTAAATGCTTAGATACGAATTTTGTGTGTTTGCTTGTGTGTGTCTCTTTGTGTTTGGTCGGCTTAGGCCAAGTTTCTTTTTTTTTCTATATTAAGATTTCCTTTTTTATATATTTTCATGATGAGATTTTTTCTTGAAAAAAATTACCTAGATATGTGTGCATCTATGAATGAGATATATTACTATCGTCTGGATGTTTACACTGGCGGCCGATTTTTGTGACATATTTTTTATTTGAATATAAACAAATTAAAGTTAAATTCCAGATTTTAAAAATATCCTAAACGCCAAATGGCTGAGTAAACGGACTCATTTTTCGTTTCGAAAAATTTTGCGTTAATGTGTACCCTGTCAAAATGATTTCAGTGATATTTCCTTTAGCAATATTATTATTAATTATATGGGATAAACGCATCTGAAAGTTTGTACTGTTTGACGCAAGATCATGTATTGTTTTGCTTAGTTATATTAAAATGCAATTAGGGCCATGAAAATATGTATTACCTTTATATAAAGGCTACTATCGACTGATATTTCTGGGAAGATTAGCCGTAACAAAAATATGTTTTCATTACTTTTATGGATTTTAGGCAAGTTTTATTTTAATTTGGTCCTGTATAAATACCAGTTAATTTGGGTGAACAACGTTTCCAACGTCTCCAAAATATGAGTCTTTAATTGTTCGCGTTCTATCAAGACTTCAACAGACATATGAATCTGTTACTTAATATCGTTTTGATTAGGAATATTTAAACTTGATGGTTCTACGGTAAATATTTCAAGGTGTTCTAAACGGAATGACAAATATAATATAAAATCTACCTTTAAAAAATTCTAATATATTCTTAAAAATCCCAACATATTGTAAAAAATATATTGAAATATTCAAAAATCAACGCTTAAGGTCTTGAAAGTCGTTAAAAAATGTATAAAAAATCCACGTCCATGGCATTGATAAAAATCCGTACATAAGGCCTTGATAGTCGTCCCAAAAAATATATTTTCAAGCATCCACGCATAACGCCTAAGTCCTTATTTTCAAAAATACACGCTTAATGCATTGGTAGTTGTCCAAAAATTATTTTCAAAAATCCACATTTATGGCCTTGATGGTCGCTCAAAAAATTATTGCCAATGCTTTTATGGTCGCTCAATCGAATATTTTAAAAAATCCACAGCTAAGGCGCATAGATAATCGTTAAAACTATTTTCTATAGTAACGCCTATGGCATTGATAGTCGTCTAAAAATTATTTTCCAAAATCAAGGCCTAAGGTCTTCGCATCACACATTGACGGTCCCTCAAAAAATTATTTCCAAAAATCCACGCATAAAGCTTTGATGGCCACCCAAAAAATTTCCTAGCCTATGCCATGACAATCCTTCAAATAATTATATCCGAAAATAACAATGCCTAACACCATTATATATCCTGAATAATTTATTTTAAAGCTCAATGAGCGAAGCTGTATAGTTGGACGGGGCCGTCCATATGATACCCTGCACAACTACCACTGAACTCTAATTTTCTGTTGATCTATATTCTAAGGTTGGTCAATATTTTGCGATGTTTGCACCCTCTTGATCGAGAAAAGCTCAACAACCCTCCTTTCTTATCCTGGCATATATTCCTATTCTTGTTATCTCGGGGAGAAAAATTAGGACATTTTGTGATTTTACCCTGAAACGGTTTGGGCTATTTGACCCGTTGAAGTTGGACCCATCAGCCTCTCCTCTGGGATAAACTGTCAACATCTGTGGAGTAAATATAAAAGAACATACATTTTCCGATGTTTTGGTTCATTCGATCCGGTAAATATTGATCGATATTCATCAAAGCAGTTATGCTTATTCTTTGGGTAAATATCCATTCCATATGTAGAATTTCATGATGTTCCGATCATAATTGTGGCCTGAGAAAGATAAAGTTTTAGGTTTTAGTTTAGTTTAGATCATTGACCTGAAACGGACATACATGCAAAATTGCATGCAATTGGTCCACAACAGTACATTGGTTATAAATTGTAATAGACAAATACACAGGTCTCGATAGACTCAGGTAGCCGAGATATAATCGACATACTAAATGGTGGGGTAGAACCAACATTTCGCGGCGTTGCAAACACTTGCGGCTACACAAACTTGACATAAAAAGTTTTCTGATCATCTGATCTTAACCGAAAACCATAGGTATCGCCCTTACCATAACCGGGGCTGTAAAATTTCATAGCTTGTTGGGTAATGCTAATACGAAATAATATCAGTTTTCGTAAACTCCTTTAGATATTCTAGTACAACTCCCACATATATAACTAATATTGGCATCAATTTAAAAATCAGCCATATACTGTCAACTTATCTGGTGGAAATATAAATACGTCTTTCGTCTTTCTGGTGTAAATATAGTAAACAAATGTTGCATTTTTCATACATTTTTGACCCGCTAAATTGGCCGATCTTCATCAAACCAACCATGTTATTTTTTCGAAATCCCCTTCTTGATGTAAAATTTCGTTATCTTCGGATCCAAATTTTAGTGTATAGAAAATCAGACATAAAATAAAGATTTTGGACATTTCATCTCCTAAATACTATATTAAACCACCATCACTTTAACAACAAGTGTCGTCTTTGGCCTGAACCGGACCTAGATGCTAAATTTCGTTAAGATTGGTCAATAATGGTGACGTTTACAAATTATAATGGACATACGGAACCATATTTCTAGACCGAATCAGTTTGTCAAAATATTACAATTGACAGATAAAAACTGCTTTTGACGCGACAAGGATCCAGAATTTCAAATGCAGTCACTTCTGCGGAAATATACAGGTAAAAAATTTAAAAATACCTCACATTAAACATTTTTGGAAGACGTCACCAGAAATCTGAAATGCCAAATTACAGCCACTTGGGGGATAACATGAGGAAGCTTTTAACTCACGACTAAACTGAATACCCGTGCGAGACTTTTGTTACAGTACACGTGTTTGGAACGCTAAGTGACACCCTCTTTGGTGAGAATATGCGGTTAAAATCTTTAAAATGCCGACAATTTGGCTGGAACTTTATCAACACGTGGACATATATCAAGCATTTACAAAATTTTCCAAATACCGAAATTCGGACGGGACCTTGTGTTAGAAAATGCGTCTAACACATTCAAAACGCGGAAAGTGGGACGAAACCTTTATATATATAGCCAACATATAACATCAACACTAAGATCTATATCGAACATTTTCGAAAATATATTTTTAACTCTCCAAGAGCCTGGTATCCAAAATTACTGCCACATGACCCTATTTGGCCATAATTAGAGCAATGGGATTTTGAAATAAATAAATATCACATATAAGTGTTTCAGAACGCAAGAAAAACATAAAAATTCAACAGGGTGGATCGAAAATAGGGTCGTATTATTTTAATTTAACTAATCAAATTGTTCCTAACACGTTTTGCAGTGCTATGGCCATTGATTACAAAAATGAAATCTGATTTTGAAAATGTAATATATAGCCGATTTGATTGAGAAACGTACGTAAGATCCCCAAAATATCCATATTTTGAAAAACGCGCACTCAAACCCAAAAAGATTAGGTTGTACCGTTATATGGGGGCTACCCCAGATAGTGGACCAAAACTGATAATTTTTGGTACGAATTACAGGCGATTAGGTTGAAGGTGAGATTAATATCTTCAATTTTTATTAACAGCATGCTATGTTAGTAAAAGTCAATTTCAATTCTGTTAGTTTAAAATTTAAGAAAATTTCAAATTTTTAAACACCAGTGTAAACATTATACGAAATTGATGTTCGCTTTTTTTGCTTAATTTGTTCAGATTGTTTGTATTTACATTGTAATGTTTGTTGTTGTTGCTGTAGTTTCTAGTTTAGTTGTAACCTTTGCAGGAGTCAATGTATGTTGTTGCATATGTAATTTGACCAATACAAATGCAATTACACAATACATGTCTTCTCTGTTGCTCTATCTCTACATATACATATATAGATCGCTTTAAATATACCTGCATGAGTTTGTTTATATTAAAGTTGTTCTATGTTGCCTCTGCTCAGCCAGCCACCTCTCCGAATATGTAAGCAGGGATGTATGTTGTATGTTTCTATGTATGTACATAATGTTTCCTTAACATGACGTCGATTTGAAAAGCCACTCCAACTTGTGTTGTTGTTGCTGCTGTTGTCGTCGTCGTTGTTGTACAACAGCATACTTTGTTCAAGTGCTACAGGATATTTAAGTGAATCCTCGATGCAAGTGCAGTAATTGACATAGTTTCATTAGTATGGCCGTTGTGGTTAGAAGACGCAAAAGCATTAAAGCGCTGCTGTTGTATTGGCCACACCGCTGATGCAGACCTGTCGACGAACTGCGAACTGTAAATACAACAAAAAGTTAAAACATAATAAATTAACTTGACTAATAAATTAATTGCAATTAAAAGTTTGTATTTTTGCGAAAATGTGTACACGTTATTTGTATATGTGTGCGGGTTGTATAAACAAGTGTGAGGGGGTATGTGTAAATATTTATGAAATGAGGTTGTGGTGTGAATATAACAAGTTATTATATCTTATTATTTGAATAACTAAATTGTGGTCAATTATATTTAGAAATCATTTATAAGATGGAAATTTATTTTGGGGTTTTAACTCTTAATGAGTAGCACAATGAGAGTGTGGGTGTGTATGTGTGTGGTTATCCTTGGAATTATATTCAACGCATATACATTTAATTCTTTGGGTTTAACGAACGAAGTAAAATGAGAGAGTTTGTTGATATATCTCGAAGTGGAAAAAAATACTATCAAAGCATGGATTTTTAAAAACTACTTTCCAAATGATTATCAAAAGGGGGGATTTTTTTAAAATATTTTTTCAAGGACCTTACAAGGCGTGGATTTATTAAAGAATATTTTTTCAAGGGCCTTACAAGGCGTGGATTTATTAAAGAATATTTTTTCAAAGACCTTACAAGGCGTGGATTTATTAAAGACTTTTTTCAAAGACCTTACAAGGCGTGGATTTATTAAAGACTTTTTTCAAAGACCTTACAAGGCGTGGATTTATTAAAGACTTTTTTCAAAGACCTTACAAGGCGTGGATTTATTAAAGACTTTTTTCAAAGACCTTACAAGGCGTGGATTTATTAAAGACTTTTTTCAAGGGCCAACTGAGGCGTGGATTTATTAAAGACTATTTTTCAAGGACCACTACAGCTACAACAAGGCGTGGATTTATTAAAGACTAGGTTTTCAAGGATCCAAGAAGGCGTGGATTTATTAAAGACTAGGTTTTCAAGGATCCAAGAAGGCGTGGATTTATTAAAGACTAGTTTTTCAAGGACCCAACAAGGCGTGGATTTATTAAAGACTTTTTTCAAAGACCTTACAAGGCGTGGATTTATTAAAGACTTTTTTCAAAGACCTTACAAGGCGTGGATTTATTAAAGACTTTTTTCAAAGACCTTACAAGGCGTGGATTTATTAAAGACTTTTTTCAAAGACCTTACAAGGCGTGGATTTATTAAAGACTTTTTTCAAAGACCTTACAAGGCGTGGATTTATTAAAGACTTTTTTCAAAGACCTTACAAGGCGTGGATTTATTAAAGACTTTTTTCAAAGACCTTACAAGGCGTGGATTTATTAAAGACTTTTTTCAAAGACCTTACAAGGCGTGGATTTATTAAAGACTTTTTTCAAAGACCTTACAAGGCGTGGATTTATTAAAGACTTTTTTCAAAGACCTTACAAGGCGTGGATTTATTAAAGACTTTTTTCAAAGACCTTACAAGGCGTGGATTTATTAAAGACTTTTTTCAAAGACCTTACAAGGCGTGGATTTATTAAAGACTTTTTTCAAAGACCTTACAAGGCGTGGATTTATTAAAGACTTTTTTCAAAGACCTTACAAGGCGTGGATTTATTAAAGACTTTTTTCAAAGACCTTACAAGGCGTGGATTTATTAAAGACTTTTTTCAAAGACCTTACAAGGCGTGGATTTATTAAAGACTTTTTTCAGGGACCATCAAAAGCTTGGATTCTTTAAAAATTATGTTTGGAGGACCATCAAAGGCTTGGAGTGTTTAAAAATATTGTTTGAAGGACCATAAAAGGCTTGGATTCTTTAAACATTATGTTTGAAGGACCATAAAAGGCTTGGATTCTTTAAACATTATGTTTGAAGGACCATCAAAGGCTTGGATTCTTTAAACATTATGTTTGAAGGACCATCAAAGGCTTGGTGGATTGTTTAAAAATATTGTCTGAAGGACCATCAAAGGCTTGGTGGATTGTTTAAAAATATTGTCTGAAGGACCGTCAAAGGCTTGGTGGATTGTTTAAAAATATTATTTGAAGGAACATCAAAGGCGTGTATTTGAAGAATATTTTTCAATAGCAAAGAATATTTTACTTTTTTATAATTCCGTTTTCAATAAATTATATATAGTATATATATCTGCTAATGGCAATTCTATTTTTATCCATAGACTAAAAAAATGTAGTAAGAAACGTGCATTGATTTAGATTGTCCTTCTAAATCGATGTCAATCTTTGTCAAACTGTCTTATTCGCTTTTTGCTATTTGTTTTCTTCTAATGGAATTAATGCATTTCCATGTAATGACCTTTCAATCAACACAAAAAAACAACAACAATATATTTTATCGTTTTACCTTAGTATGCCCACTTACCCAATAACATGGCCTCCCGATTATCTATTATTCCAGGTCGTCGCTGTAAAACACTTTCTTTGTCACCTTTCCACAGAACGGGAGATATGCTGGCAAGACATTTGACGCGCATGGCACCATTCTGAAAGTGACGAGCATCAACTGTCATCTCTAGTCCCAATGTTGACGTTATGAGGCCATGACGGTGTACCGTGTCATTGTAACGAATCAAATACTGTTCATCGAGGACCTGTAACAAAAAACAAATAAATAGAAAACAAAAAACAACATGTAAATCATTGTAAATATGTATATACGTATGTATGCATACGTATATGTCGTATGTGTACAATGTCAAAGACATGAAATAACTTAAAAGTCACCATTACTACCACTACCACAATGGGTGGGAGGACACGACAATCCCTTATTTCTGTGCACACAGGAACAATGCCTTGGATATATAAGAATGTTTGCAAAGTACAAACACATATATTTTTTAAGTTGAATCCATAAAATGCATTAACTAATGGATTTGTCGTGGCAACAACACCATGAACAACAAAAAAACTCAACAAGAGGTCTTCGTCACAAAAAGTGTGCAGGAATCAAGTCTACTTCAATACTGCCTTAAAATAAAAGGTTTTTCAATCAAGGAGTGTAGGGTGAAAGGTGCAATCCCCAGACCACAACAAAGTCAGTGGTGTTTGTCAAGTCGAACTAAGATCAAAAGGTATATATCGCAAATTGTGAAAGTAATGATATTTAATATTAAGATTACTATTAAATGCCTAGCCTGGAAATTGAATATATTTTTAAAAACTTAAATAAAATAACGTTACTCAATAATAGGGCCTTCCTAATTTTGAATTACTTCAACAATTTTACCCATCACACTGTTGATCAAAAATTTTCCCAAATCTACATCGATTGACCGCCATTTATCGATAATACAGTTTGGTATTGGCGGTTTTCTGCATAGACACGACGAGTCAAGATTCCACATATGTTCTCAATCGGATTTTGGTCGGAAATTTTAATATTTTTTTTTATTTCAACCATACTTGAGTATGGCGACTTTTTCAAACTGGCTCCTCGTCCTGCTGAAAAACGAGTCTTTCGTTGTTGCTGATTTCCCAAAATTGCAATAATTTGTCTTCCAAGATTTGAACGCACCTTAAATCATTCCTTAAATCGGGCGAACTATATATGGCAGCTATATTTATATATAATCCGATTTCAACGAAACTTAACACGATCAATCCTAGTCTCAATTACATTAGTTATGCCAAATTTTGTGTCAATCGAACAAATATTGAGAATTTGCTGCACTTTTGCATAAAATCGGAAGAAGCTATATATGAGAGCTATATCTGAATCTGAACGGATTTCAATGAAACCCAACACACTCTATTCTAGTCTGAATTCCATATGTTATGCCAAATTTCGTCAAAATCGGACAAGAATTAGAGTGCTCCATTTACATAAAATTGGACGAAACTATATATGGGAGCTATATATGAATCTGAATCGATTTCAATGAAACTTAACACAATCTATCCTAGTATTCATACATCAAACTGGACTTAATTCAGTACACAGTGCAACATTTTGTCTCAATCGGACAAATATTGGGAGTTTGGCGCACAATTTAGGTGAAATCGTACGAAAATATATCTAAATCTGAACTGATTTTCTCCAAATTCAATAAGGTTCTTCCGTGGATCAAGCAAATTCAATTTCAATAGGGTTCGTCCTTAAGCCAAATAAGTGACTTGTGTCAAATTTCATCCAATTCGAATTATAAATCCGACCTGTACTATGTTTGCAATTAACATCAACGGACGGATGGACATGCATAAATCGACACAGAAAGTAATTCTACCCATATTCTCGTTTCCTTTTGCCTGTTACAAACATATGCGCCAATACATAATACCCTGTACCACATTATAGTAAAGGGTATAAAAAGAGAAAACAATAAGCGAAGCAGTATAGTCCGACGGGGCCGACTTATGATACCCTACACAACTACCTCGGAACTATAACTTTCTGTGGATGTTTATTCCGAGCCAACACAAAAAATTACGTTTTCGTCCATTTTGTACCAACGGTTTATCTGATAATTACAGAAAATTATAGGCGTTGTTCTTGACCAGAACTAGGATTTTTTTGGAAAATTTCAAAGCGATCGAAGCCATACCTCCAGCTTTCCTATAGGAAGAAGAATACCTCTAGCTCTTAAAAGGAAGAAAAATATCTGCAGTTCTTTCAAGGAAAGGAGAATGCCGGCAGCTCTTCCATTGGAAGAAGAATACATGCAGCTCTTCCATAGGAAGAAAAATATATCCAGCTTTCCTATAGGAAGAAGAATACCCCCAGCTCTTTTAAGGAATTAGAATATCTGCAGCTCTTTCAAAGGAAGGAGAATACCTGCAGCTCTTCCATAGGAAGAAGAATAACTGCAGCTCTTCCAGAGAAAAAATAATATCGGCAGCGTTTCCGCAGAAAGAAGTATACTGCAGCTCTTTCACAGGAAGAAGAATACCTGATACTCTTCAAAAGGAAAAAGAAAACCTATATATAAAGTTTCGTCCGTTTTTATGTGAATGATGCACCAAACTCCCAATGTTTGTCCGATTGGGACAAAATTCTGCACAGAGTACTGAATTAGGTGCAGACTGATGTCTGCAAATTTTTGTTAAAATCGGTTCATATTTAGACATAGCTCCGAATTTTTGTGAATGATAAACCAAACTTCCAATATTTGTCTGATTGAGTAAAATTTTGCATATTGAGAAAAAAAATTATGCGTAATAAGGATTGTTGAAATCGGTTCAGATTTTGATATAGGTCTTATATATATTTTCGTTCGCTTTTAAGTAAATGGTTGTTACACGAAATTTGGCAGAGGGTATTACATTGAATATAGTGATAAAAAAACAAATGCTGTATGCAACGGTTACTCAATTAGGTCCATGTGTTTATATGTAGCTCCAATACATAATTTGACTCAATTTCATACAAATGGTACATCAAAGAATCCAAGTCTGTCCGTTTGACATGCAATTTTTCATTGATTTTAGAATGGTATGTGTTTGGGGTTTTCAATTGGTTAAACTATTTATCAATATAGCAAATTTAATTTTGCCCGAATTCATCTCAATGGTCCTCCAAAGATTCTATGACCGTTCTATATACAGGATATTGTAGATATTAACATGTCTTGCATGTACTCAAAATGGTGAAGAGTGTCATATAGTCGACCCCATCCGACTTTTGAAGTTTCCTTACTGGTTTAATATCCTTATATGGTATTCTGTGAATATCTCGAGGTATTGCAAACAGAATGACAAATTTAATTCACACTGCACTATCATATTGTGGATATAGATGTATATTTACAATTTTCTGCAAGGATGTTTTTCGTCCATTCCTTAAACGCAGAATGACAAGTTACAGCCACCTCAGTTGGAAGTGGCCCCAAACGTGGACCCATATATCCGATTTCCAATACTAAATATACTATCTAAAACTGAAATGCCAAATTATAGACATTTGGTTTGGAAAATGTCTTTATGATTATCGAAATGCGTAAATTTGATACGATAAACTTCTTTACCCTCCACGAAACTAGCAATGATCGCATCGGTTTGAAATTCCGCTAAAAACCACTACCCACTTTATTGCATAAACAATAACGTAACACTTTCTTGTAAATATTCATCATACACATTTAAATATGTCTGTATGTACCCGTACACATGCACAGCTCAACATGTTTCGTTTTTTAAATGTTTCTCAAGTGTTTTGTGGAAAAAGTTGCATGCATACAAGAACGAGTAGTGTGTGTGTGTGTGTGTAAATGACTAAAATAACATCGGTGCGGCATTAATGCCGTCATATAGCGAGCGAATGCTGAGACTTCCTCTTTAAGTTATTCGTGCGCATATATTTGCAAGTCTGTGGCAGTAAAAGCCTTTGCCTCGAAATGTTGATGGTCTTAAATGCTTGTAAAAGCTTTGTTGTTCTTTTTGTTTTCTTCCCGCCTCGAAAAGACAAAAGACATCGTCATCAGCAGCAGTAGTTAAATGCGAGCGAGTGAGTGAATGAGTGCTTGTTCGAAAGTGGTAAATACATCAAGAATGAAGTGCAAGTACACACAAAATGAATGTTTTCATGTAACAAGCAATGTCTTTTGTTTGTTTTTCTTTATAACACGAAATAAATATTATTTTAAATGAGAAGATAAAGAGCTGGATAATGTTGTAAAGATATGTATTTTTGTTTTTAATTCGTACACCAAAATTCGAATGAACCGTATACAACAGGTGACTAAATTTCATCTACATCCTTCATAAAATGTCACAATTTTGAAAAATTATTGTTATAGGGTAGTCCCCCAAAAATAGTAAAATTATATTTATGAGTTTTATATATGAAAATTTCGATGATTATCTTCAAATTACATATAATTTTCACATTCATTATAATATCTAGTTCAATTGACCGTAATTTCATGTTAATATTTTGATATGTCAGGTCAATGTTATATAACATTTTTCATATAAATTCTTTAAAAATACGAAATTTTGACATTGACCTCATGCCATTAAACCGTGACCCATATTGTTAAAAAAATGCTACTGGTGAAAAGCTCAAAGTCTCTAGATATAAAATATATAACGTTTTTTCCGCCATACCTGAAATGAAGTTTTTACTAAAAAAAAATTGTGTCTGATCCATAGGGCAAGCGAAAGGGGGATATTTTGGAAAACTTGATCACGTATGTTAACCAATTTGGGAGCCATTTAATATTTTCGATTCTCACTGTGTAAATAATTTCCCTACCAAAAATTATCAACATTGGCCGATGTTTCCTGGCAGCCACCACATAATGATAACATCCCTAATTTGGTATTATGGGGGTTTTGGGCCTGTTTTTCTCTTCTATTTTAAGCAGTTTCTACACGTGTTTTAACCAAATTAGCTGTAATTTTATATTTTGGATTCTCATTGAGTAAAAAATCTCCCTACAAAAAATATTCAATACTTACTCAAGTTTTCGTCACATAATGCTACACCCATTATTCGGTATTTTTGGGTGGGGGCTGAGTAACACTTTTTAACCGAACTCGCTCTAATTGTATATATCAAGTCGTCCTACTAAAAAAATATCAATGTCAGTTTACGGGTTAGTATAGCTACCATCCCATTTTCGGTATTTTGAAGACTTTAGTCTTTATAAGA